CTTCATAGCTATTTTTGTCTTTATCATACCTTTCATTGAATACTCAGAGACATTTGCAATTATACAGGACAGTAATGTTGAAACTTATCCATCATTTTACTTTCACAGGATTCCATAGAAAAACCATCGCCCTTATGACAGATGGAATCAATTTTAGAAGACGATATCCCCTCTCCCAAAAAAGTTTGTCTTCAGGGTTAGAGACATCATTTAGGGACTGATTTATAATTGTTATAGGGTGCGGTTTGGAGGGGAAATTTTATAGGCTGAGAGATCTCTTTGAAGAAAAAAGGAAAGTTGGATGAGATAATAGATTAGTGTGAGCTTACTCACACTAATAATAATAGTGAGTAAGAGTGAATACATGTGAGCTATTATTTATAGGCAATTACATTGGTATAGATTCTTGTATCTTGATACAAAGTTAAATTATACTGAATATTTCCTATTTTTGTCCACCATATTTTTATACCTAGGCAAAATTTATTTTGTCATATTGTATGCATGCATGATTGCCCAGGTAGCCAGTTGTCTCTGTCATTTGTTACACATTTTGCAAGTTGCTTGATTGCACTTCCTGCTTACTCAAGTAATATTATTTCCCTTCTCAGAACTTTAATGTGGCTGAAGACTAGATAGCGATTGTTACTTTCCTCTCATGACTTGTCCCAGTTTTTTACTATACAAGACTTAAACTAGTTAGGATAGAAAAATTATTGAATATACTTGTTCTTATTGTATGTAATTTTGTATTAGGTTTAGAACTCTCTTATTTAAACAAAAGGGGGAGGTGCTGTAGGAAATCCTACAGCTAGTAGTTACCCGCCCACTGGGGCATGGGCCCTTATACTATTTATGCCAAGGTTGATGCGTCCAGCCTCTTCTACAGCTTCAGAATTTGGTTTCTGTTCTCTGTTCCAGCAGAGAATATTGATTTGTGAGTTTACTCCTAAATAAATAACTATCTATTATTGTCAATTCTGAGCTAGTGTGGGATTTTTTTAAGCATTCTTTTTCAACAAATTCCAAGTAGAGTGTCTTCCATGCTCAACATTCTCTCAGTAGTAGATCAGTGCTGCCAGGAACAATTGTGTCTCAGGTCAACAAAACTCTAAGTTATTTAAATACTATGTTCTACAGACCTTTGAAATGGTTGAAGAGTACCTATCTATGCAGAATACAATCTTTATGTATCTAAAACACCACAGTAGTCTTTCTATAACAAACATGAATGACTGTTGACCTATAATACTTAATGCTTCCATAACTTAAAGACAAAGATTTCCTATCAGAATATTAAACTATCTTTAAAAAACTGTGCAGTAAATGATAATGACCTCAAAATGTAAACAATGTATAAGTATCTTGATCAGAGATAGAAACATATCATGCAATATAATATATACCAAAAATTGTATCAATATACACAATGTCTTAAACAGAGATAGAAACATGCATGCATACAATCTGACAAAATAACTTTGATAAGTGTACAAATACTTTAAACCGAAATAGCATATTCAAAATAGCAAATATAATTTGAACTTGTATCAATATACAAAATCTATACCAATGTAAATTGCCAATAAATAATAGCTCACAAGTATTTACTCTGTTACTCACTATCATTATTATTATTATTAGTGTAAGTAAGCTCATACTACTCTACGTATTATCCCATTAAGTTTTCCTCTTTTTTCATGGAGATCTCTGGGCCTACATAATTTCAAACCCAGCCCCCAACCATATACCAGTAATAATCAACCCATAAATGGTGTCCCTAATCCTAACAAACTTTGTTGGGAGAGGGAACATCGTCTTCTAAAATTCCTTCTAGCTGTTATGGGGGCAATGTTCTTTCTATGGGATCCTGTAAAAGTAAAATGATTGTTTAGTTTCAAGATTATTGTCTTGTATAGTTGCAAATAGTCTCTGAGTAGCTAATAGGGTTTTTCTGAAGTTCTTATTTAGACTTCTGGCCAGAACATTGTAAGAAGGTACACCATGTCAACAGCTGGTACCCAAAAGCTGGTCTCATAGTAGCGCTATCAGCGTCATGACATCATATCAACCAGGTGGAGTCATTTGTTGTAGGACCCTATCTTCTTCCTGGAAACTTCAAAAAGATTATGGTCAGAAAAATCCTTTTCCATCCTAAACTGGCATTTTCAAAACCCAAAGATTCAATAAGTACACATCTAGCTTCTGATCTGATAGTCCTACTTGTACATCCTCAGTTAGTCTTTGTAAAAAGCCACTAAAGGGTTCTCTCTGGCTCTATTTAGCCCGAATATATGATTCAGTTTGCTTTCCTAGTTCCTGAATACTTCCCCAACATTTTAAAGCTGCTATGCTACACAGGGGCAAAGTATGTTCATTGTAGAGAGCTTGGTCCTGAGGATTGGGGTAATGGCCCTCGCCACAAATTTGATCTTGGGAAGTCTCAAATCCTTTTGCTTTCTCCAGTTGTTCTAAAATTGCCTCTTCTCTCCATAACACTTCCAAAGCAGCTGAGGTTTGTTTTCTGGGACCATTGTACTTAATTGAAGCTACTAATGTGGGGTAGCCTTCTTTCTTGAAACAGATGTTTTCACCATTTCCCAAACAAATGGCGAATGTAGTCCATAAGATACTACTGCTTAATATCTTTTAGATCACTCATATGTATTGGTTCACATGTATATTCTGTGACTACCTTAGGGTACTTTGTGGCAATTGTTTTTCAGAGGGAATTACTGGATAGGCAGTTAAGACTCTGGGTAAGTCATCCCAGAGTATGGCATGTACTGATGAGGCTAAATTCTGTCCTTGTACCTTCTCTTCCTGCTTACCAGTTTAGAAACATTCCTCAATCTTTTCAAATTTTTTACTACTGCCGTTTGTAAAGTCTGAATCTGCTGTCCAGTGTTCTGTTCTAATGTCCTCACTGAGGATTCAAAGGTATGAAATTTGTCTAGTAAAGATAACATCTCATCCTTGAACATAATTTTGATGCTGTGAATATTACCTTCCCTTATCTGTTAATCTATAATAACTTTTCAACATATTCTGATTATTAAATTCAGCAGCACTAAATCTCTCAAATACTGTCTCAGCACCCTTCGACACTGACTGCATTTTGTCTGTCAAACTGATGATATCCATCTCCCAAATGTTGATTTCCCCAACTAGCTGCTCATTATTAGTCTGTGAAGACTACATCATTTCCCAAAGTGCCTCATTCTTGGCTGTGTTATCAAACCATATTTAATGTGATAATTTAAAAATCAAAACTAATCCCTCGATTCACTTAAAGGAATATATCAAGAAAATCACATAAGCATTGCAGAAGACCATCCATAGCATATGCAAAATAATTATTGAACTTTTGGATAGGTATGTTATTGGTAATTTTTGTAGCTTTTCATATCTTACCTGTCATGAGACAATTACAGTGAATTGGAGTATGTGTAATAATCACTATTGGCCAGCAGGTGTTGCAGTTGCATGACCGAGGAATGCAAGCAGCAGTGGACAATCCCAGTTTTTGGTTTTGCACGTTAGATAAAGAAAACCCAAAGCTTTCTGTCAGTGTGTTTCATGGACTGTGCGTGCCACGGGGATCATAGGCAGCAGTATGTGGGCCAGTGTGTAATGTACTGAGCAGCAGTGTATGGGTCATGAGCTGGGGAGTGCTGAGCAGCAATGTGCTGTGTCTAAGTGCCAGCTGGAGCCGTGGGCGGGGATAGTCAGTGCCCAATGCACAACACAGCTGGTGCTAAAAAGGGTAGACTGGTTCCCATGGTTGGGCACCAGATGAAGATGGATGCTAAAAAGAAATTCCACACTAGCTCCGAATTGAATATAATAAAGGGTTATTTATTTAGAGGTAGACTCACATATCACAGTCCTCTGCCTGAATGGGGAACAGGAACTAAATCCAGCAGCCAGAAGAGAGGAAGTGTGTGCTTTATCTTAGCATTTACAGGATAAGAGACCATGTTGGTATCTTAGAGGATATTGGCTGAAGGGGTTCCTACAGCACCAACTAGCTCTTATAACTTAAAAGTATCAGGTTTCTATTAACCTACATTTTGCCAGTTGGCTCTTTACCTCTCCTCCATTCTGTACATCTGACTCTTCCCAAGACTTGCTGTCATCTGCTGCCATACCAGATTCATCCCAAGTTCCTCTCTTTTCTGAGAAGTTTTTCCCATTTTCTCCTGCCTAGTTATCAGCCACTCAGCGCTTTATTCAACCAATCAGAGGAAAATGTGGCAAAGACCCATCATCACAATATACAAAAATTATCCTGCAGCATATTATATATGCTGATGGAATTTATAAGAAAAAATATCAAAAAATGTACATTATAAGAATGGCATTTTTCTCCCTAGTGTGAACTTTCTGGTGTATTCTACAATTTGAAAGATGGATATAGGATATGTTAGTCACTGCATTTGTTGTTTCTCTCTAGTATGAATGTTCTCATGGGCTTTGAGGTGGGAGTGCCTCATAAAAGACTTTTTACACTCCTTACAACTGTAAGGTCTCTCTCCAGTATGATTTCTCTGATGTGCTCTAAGATGTGACATGTCAATAAAGGATTTGTTACATTTCTGACATTTGTGAGGTTTCTCTCCAGTGTGAACACTCTGATGTCTTCTAAGAGTTGAAATTCGGAGAAAAGACATGTCACAGTGTTTGCATTTGTGAATTTTCTCTCCAGTATGAATTTTTTGATGTGTTCTGAGGTCCGAGCATGTAGTGAAAGATTTGCCACATTCCTTACAACTGTAAGGCCTCTCTCCTGTATGAATTCTTTGATGCGTTCTAAGAGTTGAATGCCGGATAAAGGATTTGTCACATTTTTCACACTTGTAAGGCTTCTCTCCAGTATGAATTTTCTGATGGGCTCTAAGAGTTGAAGGCCGGGTAAAACATTTGTCACATTCTTCACATCTGTAAGGCCTCTCTTCGGTATGTATTCTTTGATGTACAGTGAGGCTTGAAGCAGCACTGAAGTACTTCCCACATTTCCCACACTGGTGTGGTGTCTCTCCAGTGGAGAATTTTTGTTGCAAAAGTCTATATGTAGAGTCATAGTAGTCATCATATTCTCCCTGCTTGTGTTCTGATCTTGCAGTGTAGAGTCTCTGATCTTGAGTAATGTTGGGATACAAAATTAATGATTTCTCACAGACTTTAGAATTGCAAGTTTGTTCTCCAATTTGCATGCTTTTATGTCTATTTGGGTCAATAGAAGCATCCCTGTTATTACTGCATGTGTAGTTATTAGAGTTTTCTGTAGTTTCATTTGTTCTATAAAGTGCACATGTGGAGGGGTCATGAAACATGTGGTCAAGCTCATTACACTGAGATGACTCCTTTGCAGTCTTTACATGTTGACAGACAGGATCACATATGCAATAGCTCTCTGAAAATAAGTATAATTCAGATTAATAGGGTTTGATCCAAACTAAACATTTAATAAATGGCTGTCTCCCTGAGTTCTTTCTAAAGATAATCTAATAAACAACTTCTTAAATATTTTCTTTTCACTGTAATTGAACGTATCCTCACAAAAAACAAACAGACAGGCTTCAAGGGTCTGAGATATAGCAGATGCCTCATCCTTATCGAAAATGTCTAATGGCAGAACATGGATCAGGAAATTGAGACATTAGCAATTAGCTGTGGGATGGAGCTCATTGATTGATTATACTAAAAATACATGTCTCTATTTTTAAATATTTTTTTCTCAGAGATTGATGAAGTATAGTTTAATACAATCCCAGGTTCAGAGAATTTATATTTACTAAGTGATAGGCAATGAGTACTGTTCAGGAGACCCAATACCTCTAAAGATTAAAGTTTTAATTAAAAGCATCAAATGGTTTTTCTCTCTAGAAAAACATATTAGATTCTTCCAAATTAATGGATGGAAAGCTAGTATTCTGCCACATACCAGAGGCTCAGATCATTTGAGGCAGGGCTGAAATGGGCAACTACTGTTTATTTCTATCCTTCACTGTCTGAGCTCCACACACTGCTGTGATTCCTAACTTTCTTTATTTGGCTGTTCTCAAGCTGGCACACGACAGACTCCTAAGAATATTTTCCAGAAGGGTGTCTGTGTATTTGCCACTGGGACAAAATATGTAATATGAAGACAGACATGCAAGGAATGCAATTTCAGAATAGTCCTACTTCATGGATTGACATTAGATTTAAAGTTTATAAAATTATTCCAATCTGATATCAGCATAGTTAAATAAAATTGCATTTTATACTATTATTAAGTCATCATAATTCAGGTATAATATAACAATGCCTTCTAACAGTTACAATAGGCAGGTTGCATCCTGGGACCAGAACCACTCTACTAATGATCAAGGAATCCTATCAAGTGAAATCGAATATAGCAAAAACATTTCCAGTTCTTGTTTTCTATTTCACTGGAAGCCATCAGTGTTGTCTTGCTCATTCAAGGGCTCACCCTAGTTGTAGTTACTCTCTCCTCTCCACATTCCAAGGCAATCTCATTTGCTCAGGACAGGTGACCAGGCCTATGTTGCATACAATAATCCACATGTTCTATAAGGTAGCCCATGACCCATGCTAGAACTTTTAGAAAGAATAGAGACATCTAACAAAAAATGTGCTCAATACACAAAGAGAAAACAAAGTACAAGAATCTAGGAAGTATTTCCAATTGCTCCTTCCTGTAAGAGTCTTTTAGCATATTAAAGAAAAATTTTTAGATCACCTATCTTGAGTTTGGTTTCTCACAAAACCATTTAAGTTACAATGTGGACACGGTTTTTAAGGTTTGTATGGAAATATAGGCTACTGGGTTTCTGAATTCATTTTGGAGGCAAAGTGAGGGGTGAATGACACCTTTAACATGGAAATGAAAAGAATCAAATTCCATGAAAAAGTTATTTCTATTGCCAAACTTTCAGGCTTCCCTTTGTTTCCAAGACAGCTTAATGAAGTTTACAACCTATAAATTAGGTACATAAAAAGGATGAATGAGGAATTCTACAATAAAAATGCTCTCACCCACAGAGAGCAGGCTGCTGTAATTCTCCAACATCACGTCAATGTACAAAGTCCTCTGAGCAGAGTCTAGGCATTCCCATTCTTCCTGGGAGAATTCCACAGTCACATCCCTGAATGTCAATGGATCCTGAAACAAAGTACAGTTTGACCAAGTGATCCTGGAAAGAGGCTTTCCTTGAGATAAGGAGACTTGAGGAAATTAGGGATGTAGATGCGTGAATACAATTACTCAAAGCAATGATTTCTGATATAGTAAAGCTTTATAATGAATGTTCTAAGTCCCTGAAATCAAGATGACAAAGTGGTTTTACAAGCACACCCATGAAAAGAGACACACATTTAGGTCTGGACACAGTTGTCTATCTGGTATGGATGATGTGTTTGTGTCCCATGGATCACAGTGTACATGTCTCAGAAGGAAAATGGTAATGAGGAAATGTGCTTTAATTGCTGTACTATAGATCATGCTAAAGTATTGACAGTGAATCAATCCTGTGCATGTTTCAGCCTGATATAACTGTACTCGAACATGCTTAGTTTGTACGTATAAACTCCCTTCCATCAACTCCATTCCATTAAACAAAAGGAACAGATATGGAAGACAGAATTCACGACAGAATCTATAAATAAACAACTGGTTTTTTCCTTCACAGTAACGACGAGTGTAACAGCAACATATACTATCAATTTTAACATTACAAAATTCGATGAAGTAGTCGTGGGATCACTCTTATAAGAATATCTGAGTCACTGGCAAGCAGATAAAAAAAAAATCTAAAATTTAACTCAAGGATAGGCATAAGGCATCTTAGACAATTAACACTTTCAGAAGTTCTGGTGAATATTTCATTCCCAAAGAGTTATAAAAATTGAGGTAAGTCTGAAAGTACATTAGGTAAGCATGTTAAGAGTAGTAACTAGATGGATTCAGAACTGACATCGATTTCCTGTGAGTAAATGAAGACATTAAATTGTGTGAGAATTATAGTCCATTTTCAGTGTTTTGCAAATAAAATATAGCACAGAATGGCTCAGGAGAAAATCTGAACTACTGTGTCTGAATTTTGTAGAGCTCAATGAGTTCTTTTTAGTACTTATGCTGTATTTTAGGTTAGTAGTTTTCATGACGCTTTAGTTGTCTGGAAGTGCATAGGAGTGACATATTCTGTCTGAGCCATGAATCAGGAATAGAAATGCAAACCTGCAGGTCACAGCCCTTTCCCCAAATCTCCATTGTAAAACACTGCAGGTTTAGAGTAGGGGAATTGAGTCATGGCTGCCAGAGGAACTAACTAGAGCAATGCAATCACGAAGAAAAGTTTTCTGCACCAAATGTGATTGTTGATGCACACCAATCAATCAGCACTCTAAGAGTTCATTCCTGATGTATTCCATAAATGGTATATAATGAGTCCCAGCCAGAAAGGGCTGCACAGTGGGCTCCTGTTTGGGGGGTAGAAAAGATAAATAACAAGTACTGAACTCTCATTAGTTCAATGAGATTCCTAACAAAGTGAGTGATGTGAGCAGCAATTCTTCTGAGACAGACAGTCAGTGCCAACACACACATGGACACGTCATCACTGTTGTGATATTAAACACCAAAGAGAAATACAGGTAGAGTACAATCTGAATCTACACTAAAAAACATCAGTTTCATGGCAACATCAACCCATGTTCTGCACTGTCTTATGTGCTTATATTTTTAGTACTAGGATCCAAGTAATATACTGCATTAAAAAATCAAGATATGTCTCTTTTAATTTGACAGATTATTAAGATGTGACAGATATTCCTTGTGATTCATCAATGTGCGCTTTTTATAACCATGATTGAAGGAAATACGACAGACCCCACCAATGGAGCCTATATGCCACAGACATCCTCACACACTAATATATAAAGATATAGTTACATCTTCTACAGCAATTGGGCTTAAACATATTTTTGTTCGTATGCTAGAGTGGAAATTTTCAAAATTAAAGGTCATAAATTCATTTGAGATATTTATTCTCAAATAACCCGGGGAGAGTGAAGTTGAGAAAAGTGCTACAGGAAATGTAGTCATAACTGAGTTACAGTGTACAGGTGTAGTCCTAAAAAGAGCCTGGTATAGGCAGACAATTCTACAGGAATATAACAGAATACTATAGAGGATACAGAAAGAATACTCTATGTCCACTAAATATTTAATAAAGGAGGCAAAAAGATAGATTAGAGTAGTATGGTCTTTTCACCAAATGGTGCAGGCTGGATCCAGCAGGAAAATGAAATTAGATTTTTATCTTTACTTGTACAAAAATCCATTAAAATGGATCAAAAGCCTTATTTAAAACCATAAACACAGATACTAAGGAAACACAGGGACTACCCATGAGGATATGGAGATGGACAAGGACTTATTGATTAGAAAGAACACCAACAGGAACTGACCCAAGTATCAACAGATGGGACAACATGAAAACAAAGAGTTTCTGTACATCAACAGAAACAATCAGCAGAGCACACAGACACCCAAAGAATGAGAGAGAATCTATACCTGTGACACTTGGGACAGGGGCTCAAACATAGAATTTACCAAGAGTTACAGAAATTAAGTAACATGGAAATAAAACTGCCAACAACAAATGGGCAAATGAACTGAAGACAGACTTTCAAAAAATATACAAACAGACAATAATTATTGCAAAAGTGTTTAGGATTCTTAAAATGTCATTATGGGAACACAAAATAAAACTACTTTGAAATACTGCCTCACCTCAGATAAAAGAACCCTTATTAACTGTTGATATGTTGGGGAAAGTGTAAATCAATGCAGCCATTCTGGGAATCAACTTGGAGATTATTTTAAAAAAAAAATGAAGAGAGAACTAATGTAAGACTCAGCTTCTCACTCCTGGGCATTACATAAGGTACTCTGCACCCCAATTTAGAGATAATTACACCCCATGTTTACTGCTACAGTATTCACCATAGCAAACTATTGTAATCAACCTAACTGTCAATCAATAGGTGAATGGATAATGAAAATGGTATACATATAAAGTGAAATACTATTCCTATTCAGCTGGAGATGCATGTAATAAAAATTTGCAGGAATGGATAGACTCAAAATATGTGATATTAAGTGAGGTAATACAGTGTCAAAAAGAAGAAACCGTATTTCCCCTCATATGCAGAATCTAGTCAATAATATATGGATATGGAAATAATGTATATGTGGGCACAGTAGAAAATGGAAAAAGAGAACAAGAAACATTAAGTATTAGGGTTGAGTTAGGACTAATGCAGGCAATGAACACAAGTTATAAAAAAGTGTAAAAATAATTTCTAGTTCTAATTCTGTCAACTTTTTTTCTTTTTCATGGTAAACATGTTCACAAAAGTAAGTTATACAACAAAAATATACAATCCCTTGTGAGGCTGGAACTCTAACTGCATAAAAGTGCACTGAGTTGTATAGACTTTGGGTCTGGTGAATTTCAGTGTGTAATTTTTTTGTCTGCTTGTTTTTTGCAACATTTTTCATAATAAAGTTAAAACAATTAAAGGCTTCTGATGTCTCAAATTATAACATTTCTACCATAAATAAATAAATAAATAAATAAATAAATAAATAAATAAAAAATAAAAAGGCACATGACCACTGACCTGGGACAAATTAACTGGAGAACCGGCCATTTTGTTTGTTTCTCTTCTTTGAGTTTCTCTTTCAGGAATAATGAATAGATAGATGACTTGCTGCCCTTTCAAATAACAGGTCAAAAAGAAAAAAATTAATACTGAAAGCAGTTAAAGAAAAACGTCAAAACATGTGAAAAGACCCAAGGAACAGACTACACCCAGGTTTCTAGTCAATGATCCCAAATCCAGGATGGCATGGAATGACATTTGAAGCTTGGGGGGAAAAGTCACTGTCAATAATATTGTTGCATCCAGAAAAATTCTACCTTAAAATTGGTGGAGATAAAAGTACAGTTCAAGACAAAATACAAAGTATAGTACAAAATAAAGCAATTCATTTCAACAAAGCAAAACCACAGACAATACACCAATGGCAAAAATTGTACAGATGAGTCAGAGGAATCATCCATAAGAACATGGGAAAATATAAATTTCATGTGAAGAATAGATAAAAACAGGAGAAATGGGAAGTAACAATCCATGTTTGTTTGCAAAATGGGGAGTTTTCTGATTATGCAGACCCTAGAGAAATAAATGTATGGTTTTGAGAGAAAACTTTGAAGAAAGGGGGTGGGGTCATGCCATGACAGGTGAGTCTCAGTAAGAAGAGTCTTCCTTGCGTCCCATGGATTGTGATGTTGAAATAAGAGCTGCGGGGCTGCATCCCCAGCACCCCAGCCGCCTGCTAGCTTATGCCCGAAATAACAACACACAAACTGTATTCATTTAAACACTGCTTGGCCCATTTCTATCTAGCCTCTTCTCGGCTAACTCTCGCACCTGAACTAGCCCATTTCTAATAATTGTTTGTAGCACCCCCAAGGTGAGCTTACCGGGAAGATTCTAGCCTACGTCCATCCTGGGTCGGAGCTGCCTGGGAGAGCAGAGCTGGGGTCTCTGCTCCAAAGAGCAGAGCTGTCGAGTCTACCTGGGAGAGCCGAGCATGGCGTCTCTGCTCCAGAGAGCAGAGCTGTTGGGTCTGACCTCACTTCCTCTTCCTCCCAGAATTCTATTCTGTTTACTCCTCCCACCAATGCTTTAACTGCAGGGCCAGCCAAGCAGTTTCTTTATTGCTCAACCAATGAAATCAACAGATTGATATGACACTCCCACATCATTGTGGTACCAATTGGGAAGATTCTGATAAATTTCTTAACTCAGCTCTGGATTCAAGATGTCACAAGTATATTCATTGCCCTATATACTGGAGCCTATACAGAGGAAATAGGAATAGTGTGGGTTGATAAAAAAGAAATGAGATGCCAGGGTCTTCCTTTCTGGAAGTGTATGAAAAGTACAGGCCTCGACTATAGAACTGAGGTTATTATAACCAGCCAGTTAAATGATTATTATGAAATATTTTTTTATTTGACTTTCGAGACAGGGTTTCTTTGTAGCTTTTGGTTCCTGTCCTGGAACTAGCTCTTGTAGACCAGGCTGGCCTCGAACTCACAGAGATCCGCCTGCCTCTGCCTCCCGAGTGCTGGAATTAAAGGCGTGCGCCACCACGACCCGGCTTTATGAAATATTTTGAACATCAAATGATTCTACATGCAACATGGTCAAGGTAAACATTATTTCAGACTGTCTAACATAACTGCACGAGCGCCTAGCCTACACACAGGCTGCACACGTAAAGAGAGAACAAGAAAGCTGCTGAACCTTCAGATGTGCATTCATCCCTTTTTTTCCCCCTTGACTCCACAGCTCCTCTTTGGGAACTGAACTCCACTGAAGCTGTTCTTTGGGACTGCTGAGAAGACTTGACAACCTACTCCACAGATCCTTGCTCACCCAGGTTCATTGCTGCTCTACTCACAACAGCTATAAAAGGGGAACAACCCAAATGTCCTTCAGCTGACAAAGGGATAGTGAAAATGTGGTATATGTACAATATGCAATCGTATTTACCTGTAAAGAAAATTGAAATCACGAGCTTTGCAGGTAAATGGATAGACCTAGAAAAGATCCTATTGAATGAGGTAACCCAGACCCAAAGACAGGCATTGCATGATCTCTCTCATAGGAAATTCCTAGTTCCGGGACAGGCTCCAAAGCTATCGACAAGCTAAAGAGAAACCCTGTGTCGAAAAACCAAACCAAAACAAAACAAAACAAAAACCCAAAAAACAAAACACAACAAATGGCACTGCAGAGCCACATAAACAACCGCATCATGGGAGTGGGAGAAAACTGACAAAACAGCCTAACGTACAACAGTAGCAGATGCAGAACTTGTCCAATAGCAATGACCACGTGAATGTCATCAAAATACCACAAACAGATGTTTCAGACAAGGGTAAGACATTCAACCAGAACTTCAGAGCCTACTTCCTTCTGAACAGCCAGAGAAACTGCTTGCACCCCTTTGCGCCTTCCCTGAAGGGTCACAGCCCCGCAGCTCCTCTGACCTGGGAGGTTCCAGGGCCGCCGGGCTGCGGTTCCCGCCACAGCGCTTGCTGACTTTCCCAGGCCGCCCGGCGCCGCCACCGCGTCGCCGCGACACCCGCCGACTCCTCCGCTCCCAGGTCTGCACCACAGGATTCCCCAAGTGAAACAGGGAATGTTGGAATTGCCCTCACTTCAGCTTGATTCCTCCCAGCTGCTCCTCCTGTCCCCGCCCCAAAATACCTCCGCTTCCGGTTACCTGTTTTTCCCCCCTAAACCCGCCTACCACGGGGATCTCTTCTAGTTTTCCAGTTGCACCATTCTTTTCAACTAATCTTCTCTGATTGACAGGTGTTCCGTCCCATTAGAGACCTGTAAACCCCACTCCGTCTCAGGCTGCTTTCCACACAGCTCCAGCTGTCAGGCTGCCCTAAACCCGCTCTGCACAGCCTCCCCTCATGCTTGCTGCCAGCCACAACCAGAACTGGATCTAGGAGGACGCTGCATCCCGGTGTCTGACCCCACAGTGAGTTCTGAACCCTTCAGATAAAAGACAGGCACAGCCTAACCTCGACTTGAGTAGTATCTTGGTCAACAACATGCTTACACCTGAAGCGCAGCCCAAATTATTTTTATCAATAAAAACCTGAAGTCAGATATCGGTAGTGAACATTGAAGGACCAGAGAAGCAGAGCAGCCAACCACCAGAAAGTTCTTACCTCTAGGAATCCTCAGACCGAATGGGACCGAGATATTGTCGCCTCCTGCCTTATATTCCCGTCCTCACCTCCCTAGTGCTGGGATTAAAGGCGTGCACCACCACTGCCCAGCTCTTTCTTTCTTTTTTATTGGTTCTATCTCCTGTGGCCCAGGGTGTCTACGAACTACTGATCTCCCTGCTTCCTCCTTCCAAGAGTTGGTATTAATGGTGGGTGCCACCTCTGCACGTCCTCTATAGCTATCTTGGCACTCAGATCTCCACACAAGCCTTATTTGTCAGAACACAAACAAAATATCTCTCAGCGTAACACCAAACCATAACAGGTTAAATTCAGATTCTAGCGTCCCATCGTGAACACACAAACATGAGAAGCCGAAACCAAATACTTCAATTTTGCCTTGGGGAGAGACAACACAGGAACTTGAATTTTGAAAAGAATTGGGTGTCTCAAGAAGTCAGAGTTCATTGCTAACATCCCTGGGCTGAGTTCCTCCTGAGCTGTACTGATCTCACCCCTAGATGGTGGCCTTGTCATTTTACTAACTCAGAAACAAGTTAGGGTGATTCATGCTAAAGGTGATTTAAGATAAAATATAGAAAAATTCTTTGGAGTAAAAAATGCAATGGCGAATGCAGAGATTCTTGCTGTCCCGGTTGCAGAAACAGTCAGTAAGGAATGTGGTTCCAGCAACGAAAATGTCAGTTACACCATCCTGTCTATGGCTCTGGGATCATGGACGAAGAGATCTAGGAAAGGGAATGAGAAGGAAAAGAGGAGGAAGAGGTAAGACATGCTATGCTCTAGACTCCACACAGCTGTTGTAATCAGTAACCAAGAGCAACTCTATTTACCTGCATTGGCCACACACTAGACTACAATCAGTGTAAGAAGCATGACCCTAATTAGTATTATCAACAAATACCTGGAGTCAGATATCGAAGTAAATGCTGAAGGATCAGAGAAGCAGAGGAGCAGTCACCAGTGTCTTTTGTCTTCTTCCGATCCTCTAACCGAATGGGAACTAGAATCCTGTCTCCACTTGCTTTATATTCCTGTCTCCACCTCCTTTAGAGTGCTGGGATTAAAGGTGTGATCCTCCACTACCTGGCTTCTATAGTTAACTAGTGACTAACTCTGCTCTCTCATCTCCAGGCAAGCTTAATTTGTCAGAACACAAGCAAAATATATAACAAGTGTAGGAAATGGAAGGCTTATAGAGCCCAAATGTTGACTATAGATGGATTATAGGAGAAGAATCGTTGCATTTAGCTGTAGTTCTGCTGATCCCACCAGGCTCCAATACACAGATCCAGACTCACAGTCTTATAGATGTCTCTGATCAGTCTCAGTGGATCCCAAGAAAAATCAGTAGTGATGAACACAATAGAGAGATTAGTTGGCATTGTAGACCAGGACAGTAGAGAGGTAGGAGGTGAGAGTGGACAGTGTTTGAGATGCGAACACACAAACATATACAGAGTGTACTTGTATTATACATATATGTGTTTGTGAGTGTAAAATAGTTAATGATAGATTTTTTTTGTTTTGTTTGTTCTTTCAAGACAGGGTTTCTCTGCAGCTTTGGAACCTGTCCTGGAACTAGCTCTTATAGACCAGACTGGCCTCGAACTCACAGAGATCTGCCTGCCTCTGCCTCTGAAGTGCTGGGATCAAAGGTGTGTATTACCACCGCCTGGCAAAATAGATTTTTTTTTTGAGACAGGGATTCTATCTGTAATCCTATGTATCTTGAAAATAGCTTTATAGACCAAGCTATCCTCGAAATCTCTGAGATCTGTCTGCCTGAAGAGAGTTGGGTTTAAAGGCGTGCCCCAACCTGCACTGCTCAGAGAAAATTTTAAATGACCACATCAGACTGTAATTTCTTTTAGGTTTTAGCATTATCTGTTGGTTTTTGTTTGTTTGTTTTGTTAGTTTTTAAAAAATGTTTTCTCTGTGTAATTGTGGTTGTCCTGGAAATCCGTGGCAGACAAGGGTGGCATATTGAACTTACTGAGAATAATCTACTTCTGTCTCTAGAATGCAGCATGTGCCACCATGCCCAGTTTATCTGGTTTAATATCAGGTAATACTAAGAGTCAGGAAATTTTTTATGTCAAATAGTATTGTAGCCAGCTTTGCTGTTAGTTCTTTGGAGTTCTAATGGAATCTTGTCAATCTGGTCCTGATGTTTATTTAAGGGGGCATCTTATTCTTCGTCAGTCTCATTGCAGCTTATACTTCTGTTTACATGACTTATTCCATGCTTTGAAATTGGGTATGTTATATGCACCTGCAAACTCATCTATTTCAATTAGAGTTGTCAGTTTAGTGTAATAGAAGTCTTTAATATGAATGAACAAGAGATCCAGGTGGTTACTCTTCTCCGTCAAGTAAGCTGTTTAGTTACCTTGGGTAATTGTCAGGTCAGGTAGTAGTGACACACTCCTTTAATCCCAGCACTATTGAGGTGGAGACAGTTGGATTTCCTGTCCAGCCTGTGATACAGAGTAGGTTCCAGGTCAGCCAAGGCTCAAAAAAAACAAAACAAAACACTAAGACACAATAACAAAAGTGATATATAGTTGGGCAAGGCCATGCCAGCCTTTTAACCCCGCCCTCAGGAGGCATGGGCAAGAAGAACTCTGAGTTCAAGGCCAGCAAGCTCTCTTGAACAGCTGAAAATACAGAGACTTTGTCTCAAAGTAAATTGCTCCCCAAGGAATAGCATTCATGGGAGCACCACGCAAAGTTTGAAAGAAGGGAAACAATCAACAGTCCTAGCCAGCTATGCCTAAGAGCCACATCAGTTGTCAACCTGGCAAGATAGTCCTAAGGAAGCAATAGTGGCAAGCACACCTTGGTGGTAGCCAACATCTCTTTCATTGGATTTAAGACTCTCTTAACAAAAGTTCAGATACCATGAATGGTACTGAAAATCTAGCTACCTTCTTGTGCTGCTGAAGACATGAATCTTGGAGGAATTATTTTACTAAACCAGCATAATCTCTTAAAAAATCTAAACATTTCTCCTTGTACCCAGAGGTAAGCTTAGTCTTCAGGAGACATATCTTTTCATCAGTCAGAGACAAGTACAAAAATCCATAAGTAATCAAAATGCAGAGTTGTACAGCCCAGGCCCACTGGATATGTCTGTAAACACTTCTACACCTTAGGATCAAGAATCATTTATGGGGGCTGGAGAGATGGCTCAGTGGTTAAGAGCATTGCCTGCTCTTCCAAAGGTCCTGAGTTCAATTCCCAGTAACCACATGGTGGCTCACAACCATCTGTAAAGAGGTCTGTCGCCCTCTTCTGGCCTTCAGGCATACAGACAGAATATTGTATACATAATGAATAAATAAATATTT